ATATATATATTATTTTTTTATTTTTTTGATTTTAAAAAAAAATAATTCTTTTTTATCTTTTTATTTTTTTAATTTTCAAATCAATATGTTTACTGTGCTGAAAATAACTACATGTAACTGTAGTAACTTATAGTAATGTGTAGTTATGTTCTTTTTTTTAGCCCATATTTTTAGTCGATCAATTATATGCACACACGAATAATGGCTAATACAAAAGAAATTCATAAAGCACAACAACCAAAAATTTAAAAATTTCAATATTTATATTATAAATCACCTCAAAACCAAATAAAATACAAATAAAAAATACGCAAATATACGCATATGTAACAACATGTTTCTATAGTAATGTATAGTAATGTACAGTAATGTATACAGTCTGTTGAACAAGGCAGATGTAACTTCAAACAAAAATTTTGACACATTCAAGGAAATGATCAATGGCCTTCATTAAGGTGCAATTGCAATATCAAAATAAAAAATACCCCCCTAGCCACCAAATAAACTAGGGATAAACTCAGGCCCAAATCATCATTTGACATACCCCTGGAGAAGCGAAAGTACTATACTACCCTTATATGCAAATTTCGGCCAAACTGCATTCAGCATTTATGGTCCTGCATTTATCATTTTCGCTGATTTATTTATTATTATTTGTTTTTTTTTATTTTATAAACCTGTTGGTTAAATATATATATATATATATATATATATATATATATATATATATATATATATATATATATATATATATATATATATATATATATATATATATATATATATATATATATATATATATATATATATATATATATATATATATATATATATATATATATATATATATATATATATATATATATATATATATATATATATATATATATATATATATATATATATATATATATATATATATATATATATATATATTTATCCACGACAGTAATATATATATATATATATATATATATATATATAAATATATATATATATATATATATATATATATATATATATATATATATATATATATATATATATATATATCTACATGTTACTATAGTAATGTATAGTAATGTACAGTAATGTATACAGTCTGTTGAACAAATCAGATGTAACTTAAAAAAAAAAATTGACACATTCAAGGAAAGGATCAATGGCCTTCATTAAGCTGCAATTGCAAAATCAAAACAAAAGAAATTACTTTAGTGCAAATCAACAAAATTTGAAGAAAAACATCAAAACACTCAAAAATCAACAAACACTAAGAGATCGAGAGATAGAGAGAGAGGTTATTGCTGGGAAATGCTATAGATTTTAAATCAAACAGACAGTGACTCCTCACCCCCCTCGCCTCCTACCAAAACCCTAGACGCCGCTAATAACCACCCACGGTTCCGCGCGCCCTCAAATGCAAAAAAGTATAGAAATAAATCTGAAAACATAAAAATAAACGAAATTACCATCAAAATATAGATCCCGACGAGAGGAATCCAACGGTGGCCCGTCACATTTCGACGGGTGGAACACAAAATAAAGCTCCGGCAAGACCACCGTCCTCGAATGAAAAAAAATTGCAGAAACAGATCAGCGCTCGAAACTGAATGAAATCACCACCAAAAGAAAGAGCTCGACGAGAGGAATCCAACGGTAGTTAAACCATCGAATTCCGACCACCGGAGAGAGAGTTATGGCTCCGAGAAGCAATTTCGCCGGTGGGAGGTTTGTGGAGACGGGATTTTGAATTTGGGAGAAGAAGAGAGAGACGATTGTAGTGGCTAGGGATTAAAACTGATTTTAAAAGGGTATTATAGGGACTTCAGGTGGCCCAGGGGGGTATATCAAAATATTTTCGAAATGAGGGGGGTTTCCCCTAGGATGCAATCCACTTGGTAGTTAGTTCTATATAATTTGGAAATGAGGGGGGTCTACAAAATAATCCCAAACTTATTTTAGTGGAAATGAACAAAAAATAAAGAAACATCCTCAAAAAACAACAAACACAAAGAGATTGAGAGAAATAAATTTGAAAATATAAAAATAAAATAAAATATAAACATATAGAAATAAATCTGAAAAGATAAAAATGAATGAAATTGACATCAAAATATAGATCCCGACGAGAGGAATCCAACGGTGAGTAGCCCGTCAAATTCCGACTGACGGAAAACAAATTACACCTCTTGTAAGAACACCGTCGTCGAAATACGCCGACTAAAAAAATGCAGAAACAGATCTAGCACTCCAAACTGAATGAAATACACACCAAAAGAAAGAGCTCGACGAGAGAAATCCAACGATAGTTGAACCATCGAATTATGACCACCGGAGAGAGAGTTATGACTCCGAGAGCAAAATTGCCGGTTAGAGACCTTGGGGGGCGGGATTTGGATCTGAGAATTGAAAGAGGAAGATAAACACCGATATGGGTTAGGCTAGGGTTTAAAACTGATTTAAAAGGGTATTCTGGGTACTTCAGAGTGGACTAGGGGGTATGTCAAATTATTATCCAAATGGAGGGAGTTTGCACTAGGGTGTAAACAACATATAGTTAATTATATATATTTTCGAAATGAAGGGTCTCTAAAATAATCCCTTATTTTTAATTAATTAATTAATTTAATTCTTTAGAATTAATGATTAACTATTTATTAGAAGTTCATTCCACGTTTTCTCCTTTGGTCTATACTTATAGCCTATTGAGATAATCAAATTAATTGAGAAAATAAATTTCAACTAATGTCTATATTAGAATTAATCATTATATATAGTATTGGTGGAATTTTATAATATTGGTTGAATATTATATATAGCCAATTTCACAAGTTCTCCATGAATTGTGAAACAATTTTAAGAATCTTTCTATTTTCAATTAATTTTCGAAAGTTCACTATCCCATGTTAAAAAATACTTGATTCTCAAAGTTAAGTGTTAATTTTTTCAAGTTTACTACTGTATTATGTTAAAAATACTCCATTTTCAAAATGGCGTCAAATTTTAGCCAATTTCATAAGCTTTCTATCAACTTTTATACAGTTTAAAAAATTTACTGTCAATTTTCAATTAATTTTTGAAAGTTCACTGCCATATTATATTAAAAATAATCAATTTCCACAAGTTCACTGTCAATTTTTACAAGTTCACAACCGGATTATGTAAAAAGTACTGAATTTTTGAATGTTTGCTGTAATTTTTTAGCAAATTTCATAAGTCCGCTCTTAATTTCAACTTATTTTCAAAAGGTTTTTGTATTAATATTTAACAATAAAAGGTATGAAAAACTGCTATAAATGAAAAAAATGATAAATAGCATAATCATATTAGAATATGAAATTCCAAAAATAATCTAGTTCACGGATAATTTTCGACTTTCTTACTGAAAGTTATTACAAATTCAAATATAACGAAAATGGAAAAATACACGTATTTTGAGGCCTAAATAACGTCAAATGCAAAAATCCGACATGCTTCAGGAGCAAAGTTGTTGAGTTCTTTCTAATTCGATGAAGAAGAGGAGGAGAAACGGTGAACGTTGAGAAAGTGAACGAGCTCAAGAGCGTTCAGTATTTTTTGGGACTTTTAGCCAATACTTATGTATTGTTGTCCTTTTACTCATTTAAATCCCCTACGAAGGGAACATTAGCTAATTATCCACATAAAAAAGATAGGGTGTAGACATTTTTTTCAAAGCAACGTATAAGCTCACTCCCTAACGACTTATTTTTTTAAAATTTAAAATCTTCTTAAATAAATTATCAATCAAATTTTAGGAATTTATAACCTATTAAACAACTTAATAAGATGTTTTAAATAGTTTGTAAGCTTAGTCAAACACCTTATTTGGAAGCATTTTCGCCTTAGGTTAATCAAAATTGAGATATTGAAATAACAAATCTTAACTGGTAACATTTTATTAGTATGCATGAACAAATTTGAAATATAGAAAATAATCACAATTTCAACAACATTCTACCAAACATGAGTATAGATAATGAATCACATGTAATAAATGTTGTGTACATATCTAATGCAACTATATTCAATATAATCCTATATTTTCTATCAAATAAGGTCGAAGTAGTAGCGAATTATGATATTCGGTAATAGAGATAAATACTCTGCTCGTAACATCCCAAGAGTTTACTCTACATTTGAAAACGGGCAGAGGTATTAACAAATAAAAAGCCTCTGTTAATAGTACATAGAATAATAGATTACATTCAATCAAAAGAAAATATCACAACTTCAAATTTCCATGATCTTCATGCAGCAGGTTGCTGCATACCGGAATCCGGTACCATCGATACCAGGTCCAGTTCTTCGTCAGAATCGATAACATCTTCAAAATCATAATATGGATTTACCTGCACAAAATTTATTAATCATAGAAAAATTATTCTTTCATATTCAGGGAATGACTGAAAATCTATTACAATGACTAACGAAATAAACTTAAAATGAGATCTTAAAATTCATTGTCAAATGAATCGATACAAACACCATTGAATTTGTTATCAAAATGCAATCTAATATTAATTCCAAAGTAAGCCACACATATCTCTTTACAGCTGCATTGAAAAAGATGAATCGGAATCTCTATATTTAAACAACCAATCACAACCTGAAGTCACTTATTTTTCGATTTAGTTTTACTAGTTGAAGGTTGTACATTATCTTTCATTCTATTGAAATAAACATTTCTCTGATTAGCAATGAAAAATTACCTTTGGTCTTGGAGTCACAGCTTCAAAACTACGGAAAATAGGTGTGTCGAAGTGTGGGGGTTCCAAAACAATGTATGCACCTTTGTTTCTGTGTCTTTCTTCGGTTGCCTTCCAAATTTGAAAAAAAAAAAAAAGGTATTAGTGTTTTCTTCGATTATCTCAAAGAGAGAAGGCACATATATCTCTTATATAGAGGTGGGTAAAACAGTTATGATAAGCGAACAAGTCACCAACATAGAATCCAATCTACTAACCTAAGATCGATACCTAATACTTAATATATATAATATACGTGATACTTCGGGCATTCTTCTTATTTAACTATATTTAGACGCTTCACAATCCCAATGCACGTTGTGCAATATTATAATTTATAATCATATCACCAGTTGAATTAAACTACATGAAGACACCAATAGATAATGCAAGACTTTTACTGAAGGATTCTTATTTGATATCAAAAGAAAGAAGCTCGAGCTAATACATAAGGTTGACATTTTAAATCCCATCAAAAAAAAAAAACGGAGATTGACATTTTAAACCAATTATAAAGAGTAATTGCCCAATGGCATAAATGTAAATAGTTTGAAGCAAACCTGGAATTGTGGATAATCCGGGGCACTGAATAAAGTGATGAGCTTCCCAGAATCAACAATATGATCTATAGTATACCCTAAATCCATTCCCCCAAGATCAGCTCTCTTATCCCTTGCATCAGGACCTTCATGCGACCTGATAATCAACTGCAATACCAAGAAAGATCAATCTCTCGTACTTATATTAAGTTCATCGCCTTCGTATTTCATGACACGGTTAATTTCTGAAAGTGCTCTTGTATTTACCAATAAGTTTACATAATTGGTTATTATGTGAGACCCGTGCAGATCAAATGCTCGTCTATGTATCAAGCAGTGTATGCATTAGCAGAAAGAAATGGTCAAAGAAAATGTCGATATCCATGAACTTGAAAATTTGCAGGACAGCTACGGGCAGTCAATTTTTCTTTGTTGTGTGATTCATCGTACATGATAATATCGGCCACGTGTTATAAGTGGACGAAAGGCTCAAATAGATCAACCACAATAAAGTGACATCATTGTGTTTATTGATGACACTCTAATATACTTCGGAACTACAGAAGAGCACGACAAATATTTGATACTTGTGATAGAAGTGGAGGAACAGTTGTATGCTAAATTTAAGAGAGATGAATTTTGTCCGGACCACGTCATATTATTGGGGCATGTGGTAAATGGAATTGGATATTGATATATAAAAGTAATTGTGAAGCTATAAGTTAGTGGTCACAAACCTAGCCGCCCATCAGATTTACGAAGTGTTGAAAACCTGATATTAAAGGGGATGATTACATTTTTTTCGTCCCTATACTTATACCACTTATTCGTTTTTCTTCCCTCCACAATTGAGGGTTACAATTATGGTCCATAATTATGCCATTTTTCTGTAGTTTCCGTCCTGTGGTCTATTTTTTGGTTAAGTTGGACGGGAAAAGTTACGTACTTCACACGTCACAATCCTATTCTCACCCAATTCTTGGCTTCAGTTCTTATTTGCCCATTTTCCCCATTTTTTCCCTTCAAATCCCTAATTTTTTTATCCGAAATCTCTAAGGCCATGTTTGGTTGCCATGATAGGCTTAGCCAAGATAAGATTAGATAATCTAAAGAAAACCCAATTGTTTTATTGGACCCCGGAAGGTCCAACAAAAAACCTCTCTAAAAGGCATGATAACATAATATTTAAGGGCCGACCCGGTAAGTTATTGGGTTTACCAAACATCAAACAAAGTTCAAGTATTTAGTTAATCATGGCTAATCTTACCAACCAAACGAGGCCTAAGGAGATGTGTAAAAGTTGTCCTCTTTGTTCCAAATTTTGACCTGCCACACTACTATGTTAGACAACTTCTGATTGGCTGAACCACATTATCATTGTGATCATGTTTTACTTCCATAAGTTGTTAGGGTTTTATCTTTCGTTTTCTACTGCACTTATTCTATATCAACGTACTCCAGTTGTGTTGATTGTTAACTGACTATTAACCTTGATTGTTTATTTTTCTTGGGTGTGAATCTTCGTACATTTGTAAACTGAGCTATAGAAGTACAGTACCCATTTATTTTACGAATGTTCAAATTTAAGTTGGTGCAGAAACATTCCTATCAATAGTTAGGTGAAGCCCTCAAATTCATAATAATTATTGTTTTTCGTAAAGTTGCAGGGGCCTTACAACTTGGTGTGAGGTAGCCACCGAAGAAGTACGAGTGGAATGATTTATGGGTTCAACGAAGAGCTATTATGGATTTGGGACTCGGGAAGGAAATTTGAAGAGAAAAATGTTTGAGGAAATGTGAGATTATCTGAACTTGGGGAAAATGCGAAGAAGGGGGGTGAACTATCAGAAACACCTATTTTAGTATTTTCGTAATTTAGACATACGTAGGGATTTATTTATATTAATCTCAACGAGGAAGTCTCTAAAATTACATTCTCCTGTCAAATTCCGCAACAACCACTCCCACCATCACAAACACATACCATGAATGAATTAATTACATTACCGACGTCATGCTTTCGATTCCACCATGATATATAGAAATGCAGTCCTAACTTTTCAAACATAAAAAGTTGCATATGTGAAACAAACCTATTCCAAACGAAAAACGAAGAGTGCAAAGAAATTACGAAATTGACAAATTTGCATACCTTAAGATTGTACTTGTTCAAAAATTGTTCGGTACAGTCCGGACCCCACAAGAGGCCAATGCCCCTCTCCTTATTCGGTGAAAGACCAGGACTCATTGATGGATCCGACCAAAGCACATCACCCGGAATCAAGTTTTGACCTTCCCATGGTGGATCGAGTACACTTCTTCTAGCTTTTGCCAACTCTTCTAACGAACCAAGACTTAAAGAAATCATCTCCGGGCTATTATTAATATTATTATTATGTACAACCTTTCGATTCTTCTTTCTAGACCTTTTTGACGGAGTGACGACAGTGCCACGGAAAAGCCCTCCATGCGCAGTGTACACTTTCCCAGCTATTATCGAAGCAAGAGGAAGTCCTTCAAAACAGCCTAAGCACTTTCTGTACACATGCTTTCCACTATCTCCATATTTTACTAATACTTCTTTTTCAAATCCATATACAGAAGTGCAGTACTTGGACTCGTGATTTCCACGAAGCAAATAAACTCTTTGCGGCATAAGAACCTACAAAATTTATTATAATCTTAACTTAACATTGATATAATTAAAAAAAAAATTCTTGTCTAGTAGAATATAGTTGTGAATTGTCACCCTTATAAGCAAGCTGCTACATACCTGATCAATAAAAGAGACAAGTAAACAAATTGGTTATGTCTTATTGAGGCGATGGTTAATTAATTAGAAGCAGCTTTTGTGGGATCTACCCTTACGCTATTCCTGTAAAATAAATTATCTAGTAATGTTAAAATTTAATAGATCTGATTAATCTGACAAAGACAATGATTTAAAGCTTTTGAGCTTAATTGTTAAATCTGCACATAGGAATTATTCCAAACGAGAAAGGGCAATAAAGGAGACAATCTAAGTAAATTATCTAATTGACCAATAAAACGTGCTACATATAGCATAAACATTAGTATGTAAAAGACATAACCATCAATAAACTGAACTGACTTTTATAACGCTAAATAAGGCATCAGCCTCTTAATATTATCGATTTGATTCATCACAATTACCTAGTGAATCAAACACCAAAGGAGATAAGAAAAGATTGTATCAGTAAAGGATATCACATGTTGCAATTGACTACTTCTCAAAAATCATTTATCAAACCAAACACCCTATTGTAACTTCCATCTCCAAAATCATTTCACGTACTGTAATTGATACAACCACAAATTTAAAAGAAAAAAGACTTACTTCCTATATAGAAAATTACTACCGAGCTCAAGTATACAGTGTCATTATTACGTACATGTAATAAAATAAAACATGTTGTGATTCCACGGCAGTCGGAGAGTTTTAGACTCATGCAAACATCCCCTTACTGACTAATTAATGCAAAAAAAAAGGGTAACCTAATGATTAAGCGTAAATCCATCTTTGAGTGGGTGGGGTCGAAGTTCACTTCTTTTAAAATTAAAAAGATTTACCTTCAAAATTACCAAATTAATATATCGTGAAAGAATGCATCTTAATTACTTCAGGGCACATCTACCAAATAGTTCAATATAATCTTGATATAAATAATCTAACCACACCACACTTGGATCGTAGCTTATCCTGTTCCTCAATGTGAATGAGACAGTAGTTGTATATATCAATGTATACACTAAACACTTCGTCCTAATTCAAGAATAAAAGACACACACCCCTGGCTAACATTAAGAGAGAGAAAACCGAACGAGCAACAAAATAGTGCACAAAAGGTAGTGTTTGAAACGAAGCATTTAGACAGCATGAACACTTATAAATTCTAGAGTACACAGTGTTAAACCAGTTTCGGACATGCTACACAGAGAAGACTATTCAAGTTAAATAAAAGAAAAGGAAAAAAAAATATATGTCGGTTCATCACAATTACCATTCACAGAGATGTTACTCTATTAGCATGTTGTGCTCTTAAGTAAGAGAAACATCAAGATACATGACAGCTAAAGTATTGAACTCAAACAAAATTACAACCCAACTTTTACAGTTAATAAAGATCATGGTGCTAATGGTTAACAAGTAAGGATAGATAGAACGCTGATTCAAGGGAAACTGTTCCACCAAAAGATATAACAGTTAAGCCTCGTTTGGTTGCCAAGATAAAATTAATCAAGATAAGATAAAATAATCTAATAAAACCCAATTGTAAAACATGCCTAGAAGGCAAGATAATCCACGATAACATAATATTTGTGGGTCGACCAGGCAAATTATAGGGGATACCAAACATCAAAAAATATCCAACTATTTAATTAATAACGGCTAATCTTCCTCCTAACCAAACGAGGCCTTAGTGTAAAAGTTAACTAGCTCAAAACCGAGATTAATGAACAATCAATTCTTGAAGAACAATTGCTAACCTTCCACGCCAGTAGAAGTAGAAAAACCTCGAGACCCCAAGCACCTCTATCTACATAATCTCCATTGAAAACGTAAAATCGATTATGATCCGGGTACCCCGAATCCCTCAGCAGAAACAAAACATCATGTAATTGACCATGCACATCACCAACAACCACAACTCTGGAATCTAAATCCAGCCCACAGTCGCCGTCAATTTTAACACAATTGGGCTCTTTATGCAGGATCTTGGATGCGGCGAGTACAAGTTTATCAAACACTGCAACGGGGAGAACGGAGGGAAGCTCCGATGGGATTGTAGCTCGTGAAGCCCATTCGAATGCCTGCATGAGGTCGGTGACCCAGGAAACGGTTAGGGCTCCGTCGTCGGGCCATGCGATGGGGATCTGAGGAATTTGTGAGGAAGCGGTGGGGCAGGGTGACGTCGGTTTGGAATCGGAAGAAGTGGAGGTGGAGGCTGTGGAGAAGAAATCCTCGTCGGAGGACGGCGGCGCTGCTGTAGCCGCAGCCGGCGGCGAAGAGAGCATGGCTGGGTTCACTTGATATGACGATGCCTGCCTTCGATCAGGTGCCAAAGTAAACCATGTGTTGCTAATTTGGTATTTAGATAAATTAAATAATTAGTATTTTATAGGCCAATTCGAGAGAACCACTCGAGAAAAAAAAAATCAGATACATTTAAATTTTATAAAAAAAAAAAAAATTTGACCAAGTTAAATTTTATAAATTACTCTAAATATAAAATAATATGCTTGGAATTGACATAATTCTATTAATTTATAAAATATCTATAATTGATACATTAGTAAATATTTATTATGTATTTGTTAATAATTTATTATGTATTTGACTATTTTATTTTGTTTGATTTATTAATCGGTGGTGAGCGCAATAATATTATTGTCTATAGTTGTAATATTATTGTGGTTGACAGTAAAATTACTCTAAACACAATAATATTACTGTCAACCACGTCAATATTTTTTTTCCTTTTTTACTTTGTTTGATTTGTTGACCAATCAACGTAATAATATTACTATCTAATATTGTAATATTAATATGGTTGACAGTAAAATTATTGTAAACACCACAATATTATTGTTCACCACGTCAGTATTATTATTTTTCTTTGCGTTTTTTATTTTGTTTCATTTGTTGACCGGTCGACGTAATAATATTAATGTTTAATATTGTAATATTATTGTGGTTGACAATCATATTACTGTCAAGCTCACTAAAATATTTTTGTAATTGACAATAATATTATTGTGGTACGATAGTAATATTACTGTTGACTACAACAATATTTTTTTTTACTCATTATTATGTTTGTCTATGTTGACTAGTCAGCATAGTAATATGATTGTATTACACAATAAATTTATAACATAGTGATTTTATTGTATTAATATTAATGTGATAGATAGTAATATAATAATAATATTACAGTGTTAAACAGTAATATAGCAATATTATTGTGTTATACAGTAATATAGTTAATATTATTGTCAATCACATCAATATTATTGTTTTTATCTAAGCCAAAAACAATTCAAAAGAAAATGAAAAAAAAAAAAAAAAAAAAGTTAACGCCGGAGATTGGCGATCAATGGCAGCGATGGTCAAAATTGGATTAGGGGTCATGTTCAATATTTGGTGAAATTAGGGTCAAATCAAAATTAAATTGAGATTAAAAGGGATGAAATTGAAGTATTTGAAAATGTGAGGGAGTTTTTAATCTTTTACAAAACTCTGGACTTCGTTTGTACTTTTTTATAAAATAATTTTAGGATTAGGCGTAGATATGCAGAAGTAGCAAATCATGAACTTTTTGGTAATAGCCCTTATTAATTAATTAATGAAACCATTGTTATATATATATATATATATATATATATATATATATATATATATATATTTTTTTTTTTTTTAATTTAAGATGTATAATTGTTTTCTATTTTATCAAAATTATATACAAGGTTGTGAAATAAAGGAACCAAATCTAAGAATTATAAATATTTTTGATGCAACAAATCTTGCAATTTAATTTTGGACTATAGATGTTAATGCAAATGCAGTTGCATATTGTTTACGTGATTGTAAACCTCAATCAACTAATAACATGAGTTCGAAGAATTTGGAAAAATCATTAAATGGTGAAAGTACTAATCTTTGAATTATTGTAATAGAATAGATGTTTCATATGTCTTGAAATATATACAAGAAATAATATAATGTATCTTTACAGATCATCGGGTTCATGTCCGCTACCTTAGGTTCAAGTCCGCTACCTTAATGAACTATTGAGTCAATATGATTTACATTCTAACTTATTGGGTCAGGGGATAGGGGGCCTTGTGGGCGAGGAATTTTGCATTTGGTGTAAAGATACTCACTGACAAGCAAATATTGAGAGCAAATATAAAAACTGATAAAAAATATAAAGTTGGTGATAATAGTTCAACTATAGAGCCTCGTACTTAAAAGAAACCTCTTAAAAAAACAATGATTGAACACAAATTAATCATCGTGTATTCCTCAAGTGTTAAGGAAACATATCATATTGTGTAATAAAGATACAAAAATAATTAGTTGTTATTGTTCATGATATACATATTAATTTTCTTATCGGATAAATTTTGGCAACTTGTTTAATTTGGAGAGCGGTCAAACTTGTCAAAATCGTAAAATTTTATCCCATAATCAAGCTACATAGGACACCTCCAACGGAGGCCCTAAACTGAGGCCCCAAATGGACCAACCGCCAATTTTATGGTTGAACGCAGAAAAATAGGATTTCAACGGTGCCATCAACTCTATTTTGTGATCTCCTTCACCTGGACCTCAAATATAGAATCAGAAAAGTAGGTGTTAGAATCCGAGAGGATTCTAATTTTGGTTTTTCAGCACATGTGTGAAAAACGTGTGTCTAAAGCTAGGGAAGTTTCCTTAATGCTTTAAACTCTTATTTTGTCATTAATTTATTTAATTGCATAAGTGATGTGTTAACAAGGAATTTCATTGACAAAGACTTTCCTTGTTACACAATTCTTATTCCCTTACGTAAAGATTGAATATTAACCTAATGGGCTTTAATCTTTTGTAGGGCTCTTTTATTCAACATAGAATATATAGCAGCATAGCACGGCGTTTCATTGTGCGCCTTTTTGGAGAGAAGCCGATCTCTCTTTTCTTGGTTGTTGTTGCACGCCTTTTGTTGGAGAGAAAAATCGTAGTTTTCTGCTCTTTTTATTTGCTGCGTCTGGAACGTCCTTGATCGAGAGAAAATATACAGAGAAAATATTATTGGCTCTCGTTTTTATTGTTCCATCGTGATACGTGATTCTCATAGAAAATATACCGGCTTCAAGGCTTTGTGGTGAAGACACCAAGATTCAAGGAGTATCACAAGTTTACTTCTTCTATATAAAAAGAAGATCGGTTCTTCGGGAGAGGGGCTTAAATAGATCTCGGGAGGAGATCGATCCGCCGACTGAGGGATTCAGCGTTGAAGGGAGTTCAACCGTGCGGAGCAAGGGACGTGCTGCAAATTGAAGATTTATAATTCAGCGTAGTTTACAAGAACGGCGTCAACAAAGAGGGAGTCTTTGTATTTTGATTAAGTCCTATTATTGTATTCGTAAAACTAAAAATTAGTAAATTTTATTTGCAGGTCCCCGTGGATGTAGGGTACAATTGTATCCGAACCACATTAAAATTTGTGTCTCGTTTATTTCTGTTTTTACGAACTGCTTCACGAACTGTTGCAACACTTCACGCAACAGTAACGAAAAACTGAATCTGACACAAATAATTTATATCTGCACGAAATAAATTCTAACAATTGGCATCAGAGCCTGTCACTAGATACACTTAGTGAGATTTTGGGATTTAATTTTTTAATTTGTTTTGTGCAGATATGCTTCATCGTGAAGGAGCGTCTACAGTACGACCACCTCTCTTGGATGGAACAAATTACTCTTACTGGAAATCGAAGATGAAGATGTTCATCAAGTCCGTTGATGAACGAGCTTGGCGTGCTATCGTGACTGGTTGGACCCCGCCCATGGCTAAAGGAACGGATGGTATGCAAACGGTAAAACCAGAAGAAGCATGGACTAATGAAGAGATATTACTTGCCAATTACAACTCAAGGGCGATAAACTCAATTTTCAGTGGCGTTGGTGACAATCAGTTCAAACTGATAGCATCGTGTGAATCAGCAAAAAAGGCATGGGAGATCCTACAAGTGATGTATGAAGGCACATCAACTGTTAAAACATCTAAGCTGCAGATGCTAGCCACGAGATTTGAGAGTCTTCATATGGAGGAGGACGAGACGATTGCTGATTTCCACGCTAAGCTGTGTGATATTTCAAATGAATCGTATGCACTAGGTGAACAATACTCAGAAACAAAGTTGGTAAGAAAGGCACTACGTTCATTACCAGAAAGATTCGCTTACAGAGTTGCAGCAATCGAAGAAGTGAGAGATATCAATACGCTAAAGCTAGATGAACTCATGGGTAAACTGCAAACCCAAGAAATGAATTTTAGAGCAAATATTCGAGAAAAGAAAAAGGTGAAGAATGTGGCATTCCAAGCTGAAGCTTCCCATGGCATCTCACAAGGCCAAACATTTCATGAGTGTGACATTGATGTTGAAGAATCCTTAGCAATTATGTCAAATAACCTCGAAAGCCTGCGTCAAAAAATTGAAAATAGAGAAAATTCCTCTCAATCAGGTAAGTCTGTTAACCCTAACAAATTTAAAAAGTTTTCTAATAATGGTTATTTTGGTGATGCAAAGTCTAGGAGAAAACAATGTCGAGAGTGTGGGGGTTTTGGACATATTCAGGCCGAGTGTGCGAACACTTTGAAGAAAAACAAGATGTCACTCACCACTGTTTGGAGTGATAAAGAGGACAGTGATGAGGATGAGAACAACAAAGGACATCAAACCACTAACTTTATGGCATTCAGTGGTACTACTTCGATGAGCAGAACCGAGGGAACTGTTGCAACAGTCTGTCCAACATATTTCAGGTATGATGAATTATCTTTAAATAAGGACAATAGTCTGACTTCATCATTTAATTTTGCAGGTGAATCTGAGAGCAGTAGTGATGATGAAGAGTCAACCCTCGAAGAGGTGAAAGATGTATATGAAAAAATGTACCGGAAGTGGCTTGAAGTATCAGAGGTAAATAAGCGCCTTGAAAATGATAAGCATGTTCTCATAGAGGAAAATAAAGTGTTGAAGGTAAGAATTTCTACTCTTGAACAAAATGTTATTTCTTCTAGTAGAGAAATAGATAGCTTGCAGGCTAAATTTGCTCAAACCCAAGATGTTATTTCTAAGTTTAATACTGGTAGAGTAACTTTGAATGAAATTTTGAACAAAAATCAGCCGAACTACTGTCGTATAGGTATAGGGGGTAACCACCTATCTACTGGTGCATCGAAACAGAAAGAAAATCCTAAAAGAAAAATCAATTTTGTTAAGCAATCCACTGTTTCACAGACTGTTGCGACAGTTGCACCAACACAGCCATTTCAAAGAAAAGTTTTTGTTCCTACCT